TTCATGCTTTATCAGATATTTACTGGGCACGTACTGTGTGCCAGGCCTGTGCCTGTTATGTGCCTCTGGGGTACCTCTGCACAAGAAGATGGGGAATCAGTCTCGAGGAGATGACCCCTCCCTTAGACACCTCCCCTAAGTCTGCCAGGCAGCTCACTGAAAGACAACGAGAATTTGGATGGGGGAGTTCTCAGCACCAAACTTCATCTGGACCCAATCCTGGCTCTGGAGTTCTGGTGGTGATGGGGGGTGATGGTAGGGGCCAAGAAAGAGAGGGATCTGTGTCAGGAACTGTCTCTGAACATTGATTTGGCCTTCACTGCTTGTGCACTGGCCACTGCTTTAAGTTGCTGTGGTTTCTGTCTTCAGGTCTAAGGATGCTGGTTCTCCCTGGCCCCAGGGCCTCTGGCTGTCTCCCTCATGTTCTGTCCCTTTTCTAGCACAGTAACAAAAGCACAGAATTCTCCTCCAAGGAAGGTCCATCTGCTGATTCTGAGGCTGTCTAGACTCCCCATAGAGAAAAGGAGGCCTCTGACACTTTCTTGTGAGTCATCACCCCTTCTGGGCCTCAGTTCCCCTCTACTTGGGTAAATTGTGGTTGGAGGGTGATGTGTGTGACCTCCCTGAAATATCTTAGAAATATGGGGCATTTGCTTGGATTAAAATAAACTCTATCACACAGAATTAGTACCGTGCCCGTTTCACGAATGGGGAAACAGGAGCGGAGAGTCTGTCCTGTGGTCTCAGGGCTCAAGGCCGTGCTGCTTGCTGGACTCCAGACGTGAGCCAGCGGCGCCCCCTGGTGGCACGAGGCGCAGAGGGGAGGCGGGGAGAATTTGGGGGTCCTCGCCTTGCGGGAAGTCTCTCCGCGCCCGGCTAGGTGGAGTTCATCCTGAAAGTTGCGGGCCTGGCGCGGAGCAGGTGAGGTGGCTGTGTGCTCACGTCTCAGATTCAATTTTCACTTCCGCAGTCCTCAGTATCTCCCATCCCCCCACCCCGCTACCCCTCCTCCCTGCGTGTCTGAAGATTTATACATGACAGAAGTCATTACGGAGCAGCCTCTAGCTTCAAGAACAGCTGGCTTCATTCCTAAATAATTTCATTAATAATTCCATTCCATTGATAATTCATTGTCATCACAATTAATCATCTAACTTCACTGAGGGAGAATTAAAGGGCATCTGGATCATGAACTTGGTACATTTCCTTCCAGGCTTTTAAAAGGCAGAGATTTATAGGATTTTTATTTATAATTTTTTTATCCTTCCCCCTTTATTTGCAAGTAATACATGGTCACTGTAGAGAATTTGCAAATAATGGAAACATGTAAGGATGAAAATAAACTTCTGCTGTAACCTCACCCCTAGATCATCTGCCTTCAGCATTTCACCTTATTTCTGTTTTTTTCTCTCCCTCATTCATAAAAACATTCATATGTTCTCCTTCAATCTGGGCCACAGCTATTCCTCCGTCTCCTCACCGTGAACACTATGCATGCTGGCTTTTCATACCCCAAGCACAATGCCACCTCAGGCCCATTGCACATGCTGTGCCTGCCACCTGGAATACTTCTGTGCCCGCCACCTGGAATACTTCTTTGCCCGCCACCTGGAATACTTCTGTGCCTCGTCCTCACCCTTTGGGTCTCAGCTCAGCCTCTCCTCCTCCAGGAAGTCCTTCCTGACTCTCCCCCTCCCACTCCAGGCTGGCAATAGTAGAAGCTCTCTGGGACTCTTTGCTTTGTTTCTACAACTTTCTCCAGACTGAGATCTTCAGACTCCCCCAGAGACTGACTTTGACAACTTCAACAAATCTCTTAACATTCCTGAGCCTTTGTCATTTCACAGGTGGAATGGGCTTGCTTTGTGCATGTGTGTGTGCTAAGTCGCTTCAGTCATATCTGACTCTTTGTGACCCTGTGGACTGTAACCCACCAGGCTCCTCTGTCCATGGGACTCTCCAGGCAAGAATATGGGAGAGGGTTGCCATGCCCTCTTCCAGGGGGTCTTCTTGACCCAGGGATTGAACTGCATCTGTTATGTCTCTTGCAGTAGCAGGACGGTTCTTTACCATTAGTGCCCTTTTTATTCTTTCCATTTCACAGAAGTAGGAACTGAAGCTCACAGAGAGAGGGAGGAAGTCACTCGCATGCTCCATGTCCCCCATTTTCTCCTGTTTAGGGTCTTTCCTGAGGGATACACTCTTTGCCTTTGTGGCCCACCCTAGACCCAAAGGGAAAGGATAAGTTCTTTAGAGCCCCTGGGAACTTTCAGGCCTTGACTCTAGGACCTGTTTGCCCTCTGTTTAGGAAGAAAATATTGCCTGGCCCCCCTTACAGAGCTGAAGAGGGGCTGTCCCTTGAGCTTATTTAGTGAGTTCCAGCCTCAAGGCCTTTGCACTTGCTGGTCCCTCTGTCCAGAGTACTGTTCCCCCACTTCTCCCAGTGGCCAGCTCCTTTTCCTCCTTCAGATTCCTGCTCAAATGTCATTTCCTCGGAGAGGCCTTCCCTAACCTCAATGGCCAAAGTCACCCTCCCTTCAATCATTCATTGAGTCATTGATTCATTCATATCATACCCTCCCAGGGTGCCTACTGTGTCTACAGGTGAGGTGCTAAGACACCCATCCCTGACTCTCAGAGCTCACAGCTGGCTACTGAATAAATGAGTTAGCATGACATTTCTGATGGCGATGTGTCAGGAAGGAGAAATACATGACATGATAGGAAGTGACGGGCTGAATCAGAGCTTCCAGAGGGAGGTGGGTGTTTATTGGAGACCTGAAGATGATGAGAGAGCCAGGCACAGGGAGAGCCAGGGAAACAGCTTAGGCAGAGGAAACAGCAGGTGCAAAGGCCCTGAGGCAAGATTGCATCTGGAACCTAAAAGATGGAGTGACTCACCAGAGGAGAAAGATGAGTTAGTGGGGAGGTAGTGGGGTGGGATCTGAGAGGATTTGGAGCCCTTCTCCCCCCTGCCCCCCGCCCTGCTATGTCTCCCAGGCTAATAGGACATCTCCCCTTAAGTCTGTAGCTCCCACCTCCAATTCAACCATCCCTAACTTCAGATCCTTTTGCTGATTCTTAACAATAAAGTCCTTCCATTAGTTTTACTTTTTTTTTTTTCATTAGTTTTACTTTTAAATACCAAATACCTTTGGGCAGAAGCTGGTACACATTGTTGTGAGCTTTTACCCTTTGGGGGAAAAATAAGTGGGTCGACTACCGCCCCGAACATGCATCTGGGAGGTCAGGGAGCCTAGCAAACTCGCATGCCTTCACCTCCACCAGGGCAACGGCTGGGGCCCCCCACTCCCCACCCCAAAGCGGGAACTCGACTGCTGGTCTTCCAGTGGGGAGTTGGAGGTGGATTTATATTTATATTTAAAAAATTTTCTCAATTCGCCGCAGTTGGTTTGTGATACTTTTATAGTCCGAGTGAGGAGGAGGGACAAAGATGTTATCCTTTGGAAAAAATAGATTTCCCAACTGCAGGGAGAGCAGGAGGGACTTCTCCGCACTTCCGGGGCGCTGGGGGCGGGGGGCGGCCTCCAGGCGCTAAATTATTCTGTTCTCTAGGCTCCTCTGCAGCTGGTGAGCTTTTTATAAACAGGACCAGCCCCGCCCCTCGTCTCCAGAGGAGGAATAAGGGAGATCAGAATTTTCCTGGGACCACACGCCCCCTGCCGGGAGTGGGGACCGGAGCTGGGGCGGACGGTAGCGCCCTGGAATGGAGGCCGAGGTCTCATTCTTCCGCGCCACCGCCTACTCTGACTTCTTAACATCAAGATCGTTGGGGAATGACGGGTCATCTTGGACCCCAGTCTCCATCTCCGAGTCTCGTTTTGCCAGGGTGGTGGAGGGAGGACTCTCCATCCCCGTCGTTTAGCTCAGGAGTCGGTCAGGAGTACATCGTCTCCCACCCCACCCCACTTCTTTATTGCAGGGTCTTTGAACCTCGCTGTTTCCTACGTTTTTGTTTTTGTTTTTTTAACCGCAGACTTTGCGAGATTAGGGGACAGGCTGTTTTCCTGCCCTGCTCCCGCAATTTGAATTTTTCTTTGGATTTTTTTCTGGAAAATGGGGGGCAGGAAGGAGAGGGGTTCCCGGAGCGTCCCTCAGCCCCCCTTTTCCGGAAATCGGTGGCGGAGGGTGGCTCTCTTGATCCCGATTTCTCTCTTCTTCATCTCAGAAACAGGGTGGAGCATCTACTAGCCCGACCCCCTTCAGGGGTCTTGAGTGTGTTAGTCGCTCAATCGTGTCCAGTTCTTTGCAACCCCATGGACTACAGCCCACCAGGTTCCTCTGTCCATGGAATTATCCAGGCAAGAATACTGGAATGGGTTGCCATTCTCTTCGCCAGAGGATCTTCCCAACCCAGGGATCGAACCCAGGTCTCCCGCATTGCAGTCAGATTTTTTACCGTCTGAGCCACCAGGGTACATATCAGAAATGAGACGGGGTCTATCTTGATCCCTATTTCCGCTATTTCTTCTTTTATACTTACTTTGAACCCCGTAAATAGGAGATACGGAGTATTTTCTCGAACCTCGCTTACTCTTCCCTGAAATTGGGAATAGGGGGAGTTTAATGAGCGGTCACAGCACCTTGGACTGACCGGGGACCCCCTGAGTCTAAGACCTGGGGTGCGTGGGGGCAGGGAAGGGGAACGCCCCCAGAAGACTGAGGCTCTGTTGAGGCCTCAACCTCAGGGCCCTTCAATCGCCCGAAAACCACCATTGGACAGGAGGAGGGGGGTGGCAATCTTTGTTTGGTTACTTACCCCGTCGCTCGAGCATTTAAGCCAGTGAGAAGGCGCTGCGAAGCCCCGCCTCCCTTATACTGAAGAGAGGCGGAGCCAGCAAGCGATTCCTCCCCTCCTGCACCGCTTCTGCTAGCTACTGGATGCGCTCTCTGGGCCCCGCCCCGTTCTCGCGTCAATCTGTGCAAGAGCCCCGCCCCTCCCGGCTCTGCCTGCGACCGTAGACCGTATCTCCATCCGTGGCTCCGCCCTAGAATGGCATCACGGCCTTATCTGCATGTGAGGCCCCGCCCCGCCCTTTGCAGGACGTCACCGAGGACTGCAGGGGCCTCAGCTGCTGCCGCCGCCTCCGCTGCAGCGCAGCCCCACATCAGCACACCGTGGGCCCCGTCACCGCCACTGCCAAAAAAGTCGCCGCCGCTAGGGTCGCCACAGCATCAGTGCAGAACAAGGTGAGCTCCCAGGCCTCCAGGTGAGCTTCCGCGCCGAGCACCTACATAACCTTCATTTGACTGATGGTCAGGTTGGGATAGGGGACGAAGTTGGCCCGCCTTAAATGAGACAGAAGGATGAGGCGGTCGCGAGCCTGGGGAGGGGGAGGGCCTCGGCTCCCTCTACCTGCCCTGTCCTCACCCCACCCCCATCCCTCCACCCCCGGCTCTGCGGTGGAGGGGGAGGGGAGATGAGGCGAGTGCCTTGCGGGAAGCTGTGCGCGCGGGAGGCTCAGTGCGTGCGCGTGCGCGTGAAGTGCACACGCGTGTGCGCGCCCGCCTGTGCAAGAGGGTCTGTGTGTACCCTTGCTGTTTACCAGGGTATGCTCGTGCATACCTTGGGGATCCCGACCCAAGATTGTGAGTGTTACAGGCATGTGGAGGCAGACGCGTGGACTGCGCGTGTGCGTGCACAACAGTGTGCCTATGTGCACAGATGTGTGCCCGTGTGGGTGACGTGTACTGGGCTGCATGGGTGGAGGACGCATTGCGCACGGGTGGGTTTGCACATTTGTATATACATATTGGCGTGCAGATAGGTGTCTGGCTCTTTCCCGTGCACTGAGCGTGTCCCAGTGTGTGCCCTGCTGTGTGCACGTGAGCGTGTGCATGCCCCGTGCCTATCACGTGATATAGCTGTCACAGCTCGAGCTCTCCCAGCCTGGGAGTCTGGCAAAAGAACGGCAGAGACGCGTCTCCGCGGTACCGTACACGCGTGTGCACGTGCGCCCGCTCAGTTCTGAGGAACATGAATGATTGATGGGGGGCGGGGCCGGCCACAGTTAGTCACTTCTCCTGGCGCAGCTGTAGAGCTTAGGTTACAACCGGACCGGGGAGCAGGCCTGATGGAGGGGGCTGCAAGTTGTCTCCATCCCCTTCGCTCTGAGGTCCTCCCCCGGAACCTCGGGCCTTTCAAGGTCACGGCCCGCCCTCTGCGGTGGGGCGCACCGTTAGTACTGGGGCTCCTGATGGGATAAGAGTAATCTCTGTCTCTCGCTGGAAGCTCTCTAGCCTGAGCCTGGGCGTTTGGGGATGGAGGGGAATCCCTCACCTTCGCCTACGCCCCACACCCCCAGATGGCATCCGCCACAGACGCTCGCTATGGGCAGAAGGAATCTTCGGACCAGAACTTCGACTACATGTTCAAAATCCTCATCATCGGAAACAGCAGCGTGGGCAAGACATCTTTCCTCTTCCGCTACGCAGACGACTCCTTCACGCCTGCCTTTGTCAGCACTGTAGGCATCGACTTCAAGGTCAAGACCATCTACCGAAACGATAAGAGGATCAAGCTGCAGATCTGGGTGGGTCCAGCTGGGGGGCCTTCTGGCTCCATCATTCTCCCTCCCAGGGACAGCAGTCCCAGTTCTACCTATTTCTTTCCTGTCTAGATTCACTCATTACACACTGGGCATTTATGAGGCGCTTACTGTGTACCAAGGGCTAAACGCACAGAAGAGAGTGTCCCCTTTCTCCCACCAGTGCTCTCCAGGGGTGGGGAAGGGGTAAATGCTGGGTCCTGTCCTACCCCTGACATCATCAGATGCATCACCTGCTGAGTGCCTCAGTTTCCCCATATTCAAGTTCCTCCACGAGTGTCTGGATGAGGTTTCAGAGGTCCAACCTCATTCCCTGGGCCAAGAGCAGTCTCCTCCACCAGGGTCTTCTGGCCACCTCCCTCAGCACCTCTGAGTCCTAAAGGAGTCTGATAAATCCCAAGCCAGAGCTTGTTGTTCCCTGCCCACAGTCCTTCCATGGCTCCCACCTCACTCTTGGTAACGCCTGCAACCTTCCCCTGGCTGAGGAGACCCTGCCACCTGGTCAGCCCCTGTTGATATCTCATCTGTCTCCCTCCATCTCCACCTCAGCCTCTTCATTGTTCCTCAAATGTACCAGACCCAGTCCCACTTCAGGGCATTTGCCTAGACTTTCCTTCCCCTGACCCTCATATGACTCCCTCCCTCATCCTTCAAGTTTTTAAATTGTCCCCCAACCCACACTGCCCATCCTTGCCTGGTTTTTTCCCTTCTCCTGTCTCATTACTTTCTGACGATACATTTCCGTGATCTGAGGATACATTTTCTTTCTTGTCATGGATTGATTCTCTGTTTCCTGCACAGAGCTGTCAGTTCCAAAAGGGCAGTGATTTTGGCCCATTTTGTTAACAGCTGTGTACTCAGTGCCCAGCACGCACAGGTCCATGTGTGTCAAATGGGTGAAGGAATGATGCTGTAGGTACCTTGGGATCACTGATACTGCATTCCCTGGGACAGGCAGCTGAATCACCCTTCCTGACCCACTGTGCCTCTGGGCATGCCCCTGCTCCTCTGAACCTCAAGGGGGCTGGACTCCACCATCTCAGAGTTCATTCCCATGCTGAGGAACTTGCATGTATCTCCTCTCTGACACCCCACCTCTTCTTCCCAGGACACAGCGGGGCAAGAGCGGTACCGGACCATCACGACAGCCTACTACCGGGGCGCCATGGGCTTCATCCTCATGTACGACATCACCAATGAGGAGTCCTTCAATGCGGTGCAGGACTGGTACGTGCGCCCCCACCCGCCCTCTTCTGAGCCAGGCTTCGTGCAAAGCCTGGGGTACAGGCCGAGATGAGAGAGTCCCAGCCCCTTGGCAGAAATGTAAATAACAATATTGGGGTCTCAGCTATACTATCAATCTATAATCATTAAAACAATGTGGCATCAGCTCAAAATAACGTGAAAGAAAGATTTTAGGTAGGAAAATGAAACTACAAACATAAAAGGAAAAAAAAAAAGGTCTGGGAGGGACAGAAAATATAAAGATAGCTTGCAAGTTTTGAAGGTATAAACATTTACATTTTCTGCTGAGAGTAATGATAACTTTTGAGAAACTGTTTGAATTTGTTCAAGAGGGAGAATTCTCTGGGGGTTGGGGGATCTGGGAAGGGTGGGAAAGACTTCTTGAAAGAGGGACTCTCAAGTTCACGAACTGTGGGAGCAGGCCCCTACAGAGAGAAGTGTTCCTGGTAGGACAAAGGCAGGAGGAGAGACTGAGCCTGCCTTCCTCAAGAATTAATGGGACAGGATTTCCCTGGTGGTTCAGTGGGCTTCCCTGGTGGCTCAGATGGTAAAGAATCTGCCTGCAATGCAGGAGACCCAGGTTCCATCCCTGGGTTGGGAAGATCCCTGGAGAAGGGAATGGCTACCTACTCCAGTATTTTTGCCTGGAGAATTCCATGGACAGAGTAGCCTGGTAGGCTGCAGTCCATGGGGTCACTAAGAGCCAGGCATGACTAAGCGACTAACACTTTCACTTTCCAGTGGCTAAGACTTTGCACTCCCAGGGCAGGGGGCCCAGGTTCCATCCCTGGTCAGGTAACTAGATCCCACATCCCGCAAGGAAGATCAAAGATCCTGCGTGCCGCAGCTAAGACCTAGCAGAGCCAAAGAAATAAATATTAAAAGTAGAGAATTAATGGGGGTGGGGGGCTTGAGTAGGATGAGTGACAAGGAGATGGGGGAGGGTGGTGGTGCTCAGATTCTCCAAGCCCTAACCTTCCTCTGTCACTACCTCCTCCAGGTCAACCCAGATCAAGACCTACTCATGGGACAATGCCCAGGTGCTGCTGGTAGGGAACAAGTGTGACATGGAGGATGAGCGGGTTGTGTCGTCGGAACGTGGTCGACAACTGGCAGACCACCTGGGTGAGTACCCAGTGACGCTGGACATCACAGGCCAGGAAAGGGACACTGAGGCCCTGAAAGGGGAAGACACACACCCAAGGTCTCACAGCTAAGCCACGATGTGGCCTGGATTTGAATCCCGATAATTCATACTCTCTGCGAGCTGGCCTTTGATCCAGGGGCCATTTCGGGTGGATATTGAGGGATGTTTAGGAGTTCACTCTGCAAGAAGTTAATGATTCATTCTGATACTGTCACTGCACAGCCTAGTGCTGGGTGTTGCTGGGCCCCTGAGAGGCCTCCAGATTTGTGAGAGAGGGAGGGATCTGGGCTGGCAGAACAAGCAAGGAGCCAGGCTCTGCCTGGCATAACTAAGGCTTCCTGGAAGTGGGGCATTGGAACTGGTATTTGAAGAAAAAGGGTTATCTTTCAGACAGAAGAAACAGCGTGACCAAATGTGGGAAAGATCTTTTTGGCAAATAGTTTTACATGACTGGAAAATGGGGATCACTTGGAGGAAATATGGTTGATCATGCAGGACCTGAACTACACACTGGGGAGTCAGACTCTTCAGAGGGCAGTAGGAAGCCACGGAGTGTGTGTGAGCTGGAAAGGCCTGGATCTGTGTCAGATGCTGCCAGGACCAGGGCTGGGCCGGATGGTGGGAGCAGGGAATTAGCCCATCACCCTATTTATTATCGTAGCTATTTATTTACTGGAGATGTCCCCCAGGGGCTTGGGCACCCCCTTGTTCTGTGCAGGGGCTCTGGGGACAATGAGAGGAGGAGGGTTTTAGGGTGAAGAAAGGAGTCTAGGCTGACTCAGTCCACCGTTGCTTCGCCATGGGACTTCTCCATGCCTTTAACATGCATCTGGCACTGGGAAACTCCAGGTGTTACCTGTCCTCAGCAAAGTGTGTCTGAACGTGGGGGGTCCAGCGTCCTCACCCCTCCCTTCCCCGACCACAGGGTTCGAGTTCTTTGAGGCAAGCGCCAAGGACAACATTAATGTCAAACAGACCTTTGAGCGCCTTGTGGATGTCATCTGCGAGAAGATGTCTGAGTCATTGGACACGGCCGATCCTGCAGTCACGGGCGCCAAGCAGGGCCCACAGCTCACGGATCAGCAGGCGCCTCCGCATCAGGACTGCGCCTGCTGAGTGATGCCCTGCCCCGCCCCATCCTGGCCCCGCCCCTGCCCGCCCCCTGGGCCTGAGCCAGCGCCCCTACTGGCTGTGGGCGTGAGTCCCCTGCCCCGATTTAGCCCATCACCCTATTTATTATCGTAGCTATTTATTTATTTATTGGAGATGTCCCCCAGGGGCTTGGGCACCCCCCTCCTCCGCATCCCACCCTGTACATACAGCCCTGTTCTCGCTCCGCAGTGGCGTGCCGTGGCCCCGTGAACTCACCGCTCACTCTTCCCTCCAGACCCCACCTTTTTATAAATTCACCCCCATCAACAGTTATCAGTTTTGAAGAGGGGGCCAGATGACACCCCAGGGCAGGCTGGTTGGGTGATGGGAGGTAGCCAGCCTCCTGGCTGTGGCATGGTGGGTCCAGGTGGCTGCAGGCATCTCAACGTTGACCACTGGGTGGGTCAGAGCCAGTAAATGGCCCACCTGGCTCTTGGCCCCCAAGGTTGTACCTTTTATGGGAGCAGGGTGGGGGGGGGGGGCTGCTGCAGATATGCACCACCCTGGGATACCACTCCCCACCAGACCTGTTCTGACGTCATGAGTGTCAAACATGCCCCCCAGCCCCCCAGGAGATGTCATGACAACACTACACACACCCAATAAAGTGAATGGATGACACAATGTCCCTATCAGCGCCAGCCTGATAATGCTGGCTCTGTTCATCCACAATATTTTCAATTACAAAGAAAATTTAATGGTACTTCCACAGTCCGTGACTAGAGGATGAGACTGGAGACTCCGAATTCTGGGGCCCGGCTCCAAAGGGATGAGTGATATCCCCCACCTTAGTCCCAGCGCCCAGCCTACAGTAGTGTTGAGGGCTTGGTGCTAGCTGGCTGGCTGAGACCCAGAGCTGAGGATGGCCCATCATGAGTCACTTGAAGCTGTCCCAGAAAGGCTGAGGTACAACTGTCCATCTTCATGGTTGTGTTCCAGAGGGAGGAACTGAGGCCTGGCAGTGGGCTTGGCAGGGGCAGCCCAAGCAGATGCCCAGGAGTCAGGGTGCGGCTAGGACTTGGCCTAGGAGTCGGTTCCCCTTCCTGCCCAGGTGGCTGGTCGGCGGAGGCTCAGTCAGTCTTGCCTTGCTGTCTGGCATCTGGGGGCTCAGTCTGCATGGTGCCGAGGGCCACACAGCCTGGGGGTGTCAAGGGGCCTGGGATCTGACCGCACAAGAGAATCCGGTTACATGTGCTGCTCCTCCCCCTAGGCACCCCACTGAGCCCTCCTCGTTGGACAGATGCGGGCTTGGTCCTCACCTCCTTGGTGATCAGCAACCTGCCCACCCACCACGGGGCGCGGGCAGACTGTCACTGGCACAGGCAGCCCTCACCCTGAAGGGCAGCTGTACTGCCATTTGGGGCTCTCACATGCGCCCCTCCCCCCCCAGAAGCCCCCTGCACTCACCCGGTATTTCAGGTAGGAGAGGTAGGTGTCCCACCCTAGCGTCAGGCCGTTGATGTAGGTGACTCGGAACTGGGGGGGCACGAATAGGAAATTCACCAGCTGCGCAGCAGGCCACACGCACCAGTCAGCCTATCGGGAGGGGCGGAATGTAGTGAGGGGCGGAGCCAGGAGGGACTTGGGTGGGGCCTGAAAGGAGGGTCGGAAGCAAGATGAAAGCGGGTGGAGGTGAAGGGGTAGGCGGGGCCTGGGCAGGCATGCCCACCTTGTAGAATTCCCAGAACTTGTCCCGCAGCTCCTGACAGCTGTCGTCCAGGGTCTGGCCCTCCAGGCAGCCTAGGCCTAGGAAGGAAACCAAGAAATGAGAGTGTCAGGGGCTGGGGAGTATGGAGTACAGTGGTAAAGAGGGTGGGGTAGGACCCCCGAGGAACAGCTTTGCTGATGGCTCAGCAGGTGAAGAATCCACCTGCAGTGTAGGAGACACAGGAGACTCGGGTTTCATCCCTGGGTCAGGAAGATCCCCTGGAGGAGGAAATGGAAACCCACTCCAGGATTGCTTGAAAAATACCATGGGGAGGAGCCTGGCAGGCTACAGTCCACAGGGTCGCAAAGAGTCGGACACAACTGAGCGACTAACCACCACCCCAGGCAGCGGAACAGTGTCCCAAGCAGAGGAACCGGGACATTTAAAGGCCTTGCAGTGGGAAGTGGGGCACAGCGGGGAGGCTGAAACGGGTAAACAAGAAGTGAGAGGTCTGTCCTGTATACACTCGTACCCTGCGGGGTGGTGACACACCCTTGCTGAGGCGGTTTTATTACCAGTCCGGTACCTTCCTTTACCTTTACAGATAATGAAATAAAACTGACCCTGGGTGGCAAGGAATGAACAGCTCTCCAGAGCCAAGGGTTAGGATGATTGTGCCCTGTCAACCTCAGTCTCAGTTCACCTTCCTCCAGCCTCAGGGCCTTTGCACCAGCTGTCCTCCCCCTCCGCCCCACCCCCACTCCCGGCCCGCTGGCTCCTTCTTCATGTCTCATCTCAGCATCTTCTCCTTGGAGAAGTTCTCCCAACCATCATCCAGGGCAGCCCTATCAGACACTGTCTTCATCCTTCCTACATGTAGCACCACTGTCTGTGATTCTGCCATTCACACCTGACTCCATTGGGTCTGTCCTGTCACCACTGTACCCCAGCCTCCAGTCCTGGGCCACCCACATAGGAGGTACATCAATAACACATCTCCACATTCTGGACACAAAACTGGCTCTACCCCCCCCCCCCCCCCGATCCAGGAGGGACCAAGCCCAAGTTCACAGAACTCCTTACCCAAGAAGTACCAGACGCCAAGCATAGGAGAAGCCACCAGTTGGTCAATGAGGACCTTCTTGAGGACGTTTGGGAGGCCAGGGAAGCCGGATGCAGGGAGCAGGCGGTCCAGCCAGAGATACCAATAGTGCAGGAAGGGGCCCATGCTGCAGCCGACTGCAAACATGCTCGCTGTGGACAGTCCAAGAGTTAAGGGGGGCACGTTAGGCCAGCAACCTTCCCCCCCCTAATCCACTCCCTCCCTAGCTAAGACCTGGGTAAGCCGGACACCCCTCCAGGGCAGAACCAAATATTCTTTCATTACTAGCTCCACCGCCAGGTACCATTCCAAGAGGTGCTTTTGCATCTTCTTCCCTCATTCCCTCACTACCCTATCAAAGGGTACTACCATCGCCCCGCTTTCCGAAGGAGGAAACAGAGGCACAGCTGATAGGGAAGTGTGGGACCAGGGTGCGACCCAAGGCTGGCTGGCAGCCAGACGCTGTGCCTTTGACTACCCCGGGTGCAGCATATCGTGTTCAATGCTAAGTCTGTCGGTGCAAGAGAGAGGGTAGCAGATCAGGGGGTGGGCGAGGACCTGACCGTCAGGACGGCAGCGGACAGAAACCCTACGTATTGGAGATGAGATGAAGACTCGAGGGGGAAGGGACGCAGAGAACGGGGAGGGGGTGTCTAGGGTGCATGATGAGGTCAAGGGTCTTGCCAGGAACTGAGGTCACGGGACATGGTCACGGAGCTCAGGTCCGGTTCACAGGTCTCCGGATCTGAAGTTGGGGGCAAAGAGCTCCTGGGGTGAAAAGCCAGCAGCACCGGTCCCCTTACCTGAGCGCCGGGGGTCGAACTTCTGGCCGGGCCGGGCGCGAATCTCCCAGGACTGGCGCGCCCCATCCCCGGCCGCCATGAGAACGCCGCATCCCAGGGTGTTGGTGACGAGCAACGCACGGCCTTGGAACAGGGGCTGACCGGCAGCCCAAAGGCCGCGTAGCCAGCGCCAGCCGCCGGACGGCATCGTCCGCCGGACACAGGAACCGGCACAGCGGACCGCCCCGCCCATGCCGGCCAATCCCAAGTACCCCGCGCGGTGGTAGCCAATCGAACAGTGCCTTCGTGATTTGTATGCCCGCCCCGAATCGCTCCAGTCAATCGCCGACTGCTTCGAAGCCTCACACCGCCTTCTGCGCCTTACGAACCAATCACACAAGGCTTCGCGTCACACCGCGCACGCCAATTACTGTTGTTCCACCCTTGTTTCCCCGCCCCTTTCTGCTCTGGCCTGTGTGTAGCCGTAGTCCTACTCTTATTTGACCGCCAACTTCACTGACCAATCACTGACTTCAGGCTGGAAAAATCACAAACTGTTGTCCTGCCTCCCGCGTTGAGATGGCCAATCTACGGCAGCTACCGAGTTCTCCCGTGTAAATTGCCCCCCAGATTTCCAGATTCTCCGGCAATTCCTGAAAAGTGATGGCTGCCGGGGCGGAAATCCAATCCCGCAGAGATTCGGGGACGCGGAGGCGGGGCTCCAGTTCTGCTGCGCGCTAAGGCTGCCGGGATCAGTTCTGCTGCGCGCGCAGGCTGCGCGGATTCCTGTCTGGACGTTGACCTTGGTCCTGACTACTGCTGGGCATCTGACCCAAGTTCCACAATACTACTACTTAAAACGCTACGCACTGTTCTGGGCACATGACATGCTTTAAGAAATTTGACAGCAGCTTTGCGTTGCTGCAGTGATAATTATATCACCATATTACCTCCTATGTTCCTGTAGGGGAAAATCTGTGTCTCAGTGGAAATCTGCATTACTTACAGGAGCAGGGTGTCTGGAGCCTGTGGGCCGAATTCTGTCACCACCTGTTTTGGTGAGGCTCAAGAGCTAAGAATTTTCTTAATTTTTTTGATTGGTTGATGAAAAAAATCCAGGTACTGTTCTGGGACGTGTGAGAATTGTATGAAATTCCGATTTTCGAATCCCTAAATAAAGATATATTGGAACACAGTCATGCCCATTTGTTTTTTTCTTAATTGTCTACTCTCAACTACAATGAGTAATAGCGACAAAGATTGTATGGTCTACAAAAACTAAACTGTTTTACTCTTTACAAAAGAAATGTTTTTGATTTGTTTTGTTTGCTCTTTGTTAGAGGACACTCTTCAGTTTTTAATTTTGATTCTATGAGAGAGAATTTATAAACCCTGTGGTTATAACTGAGAACACCAAAAAGTAATTCTTACTTATAGACATGCNTTTTTTTTTTGCTTTTATTTGCGCGTTCATTTTACACTTCCTGTTCTGTCTCTTTTTTGGAACTTCTCTGAAATGGTTTTAATGCCTGACAAGTTCCCTTTATTAATAACGAGTTAACAGTAGTTTCTAACACATGCTCATTTTTACACCTGTATGAGAGGTGTGATTTTAACTTTTTGGGAAAGATGATCCTTCAAACACTTCCTATTGCTGTCAAGTACCTCATTCTGGTATTCCAGGCTCCAGATTTTACTGCATTTTGGTGGAAAACCTTCAGAATGGTTTAAAGAGGGGAAAAAGTCAAGTTATGGTTCACAAAACAGAGTCAGAAAACTTTATCCATGGGAAAGTACATTTCATGGTAGCTGAAGCCCTGGCAACTCCAAATAAGTAAGAGAATTTTGCTGTTTCTCTATTTTTCTCATTTCTGTTTTCCTTCCTCTAAAATATGATTTTGTTGCCTTTGAAACAGGAGGGAAGGAGGCATAGCACAACCTTTGAAAGAATGACATAGCTCAAGGATACAACATAAACTGATTAGAACCAAATGGGTTCAAGATGGTGGACAAGACAATTTCTACTAGACCTTGAGCCTCAATATATGCTCACTATAGTGAGCAAGCTAAGTGACACGGCTATAGGCACCATGACAGTTCT